TTGGGCTATCAAACGCCCCAGCGGCCTTCCAAAGGAGCATGGAAAATATGCTTGACATACTGAGGGACGAATGCTGTATCCCTTACCTCGATGACGTGTTGTGCTTCTCCAGGTCCTTTGATGAGCATGTGCAGGTGCTACGCAGAGTCCTCCAAGCCTTGCAACACCACGGGGTAAAACTAAAGCCGGAGAAATGCGAGCTCTTCCGCAAGGAGGTCCGATATGTCGGCCGGTTGGTGTCAGCGGAAGGAGTAAAAATGGACCCCAAAGACCTTGAAGCAGTGCGGGCACTGAAAGACAAGACGCCACAGACAGTTGGGGACGTCAGGCAGTTGCTTGGGTTCCTGAGCTATTATCGGACATACGTGCAGGATTTCTCATGTATAGCCAAACCCCTGTACGACCTGCTCCAGTCGAAGCCCAGTCCATCTCCGGCCAAACCGCAACGAGGAAAAGCAAAATGCAATCAGCAATCCTCCCGTACTCTGGTAGAATGGAACAAACAACACCAACAGATTCTTGAACATTTTGTGGGCCAGCTGATCAAACCCCCAGTGCTGGCGTATCCCGATTTCAACTGCCCCTTCCCACTCCACACAGATGCCTCCCAACACGTATCCCGATTTCAACTGCCCCTTCACACTCCACACAGATGCCTCCCAAAAAGGTCTCGGGGCAGTTCTTTATCAGAACCAGGATGGGAGGATGAGAGTGATTGGGTACGGATCCCGCACACTAACACCAGCAGAACAAAATTATCACCTACACAGCGGAAAGCTGGAATTTCTCACATTGAAGTGGGCGATATGTGAGAAGTTTCGGGACTACTTATCCTACGCCCCACATTTCACAGTCTTCACGGACAATAATCCCCTCATATACATTCTGAGTACTGCCAAACTGAACGCAGTGGGCCACCGGTGGGTGTGTGTGTTCATTCAAAGAAAGGTTTTCCTATTAATTAATTAGAGAAGAGTCAATTTTTCACTGTGCACTGTGGATTTCCTATGGAAATTGTAGTGAGAGGGGTGACTCTCAACATGCCATTAGGTCGTAAAATGTATCTGGTGTCAGGGTTGCCATGGTAACCAGGGTCCTGGGCCCTGTTCACAGACAACTTGGCACCCAGTATGTTTATTGGGTGAGGGGTCTGTGAACATTTTGTTAATCTAATGAATAACTGATTTGTTAAATCAAATGAAAAATTGTGTGTTTGATTGGTACAGTAGTGTTTTGACAAACCGGGCCCTGTTTTCAAAATTGTGCTTAAGCAATCGTAAAAAACTGTAACTACGGCTACTCACAAATCAGGCCACAAACTGGACCTTATTTACACACTCCATTGATCATGTGCTGGTTACTCCACTGCACACCTCGGATCACTTCCTCCTCACTCTTAACCTCAACATGGTTCCTGACTCAACACATGATAAGACTAAATTTGTCACACATGTCACTTTTCAACGTAACCTACGCTCACTCTCACCCTCCCGGCTATCTGCTATGGTTTCATCTTTGCTTCCTTCCCCTAAACAGTTATAATCTCTTGATGTTAACAGTGCTACTGTTACTTTCTGCTCCACTCTTACATCTTGTTTAGATACTGTCTGCCCCTTGTCTTCCAGGCCAGCTCATACCACCTCTTCTGCCCCTTGGCTATCTGATGTTCTCCGTGAGTATCGTTCTAAGCTCAGAGCTGCAGAAAGAGTATGGCGCAAATCACAATATCTATCTGACCTTAATGTATATCAATCATTCCTCTCAAGAGTATGGCGCAAATCACAATGTATCTCTGACCTTAATGTATATCAATCATTCCTCTCTTTATTCTCTGCTAATGTCTCCACTGTTAAAAGGACATACTATCACAACAAAATTAACAATTCACCTAACTCTCGCATGCTCTTTAAAACATTTTCCTCCCTCCTTTGTCATCCCCCTCCCCCTCCATCATCAAAACTGACGACTTTGCCACATTCTTCATTAATAAAATTACAAACCTTAGTGCACAGTTTGCCACACCACAAACTGTCAAACACATTTTACCAGCAAACATACACTCGTTTTCATCCTAATCTCCACTCTCTGAGGCAGAAGTCTCTAAACTCATCCTTTTCAATCATCCTACTACTTGTCTGCTTCACCCTATTCCATCTCCTCTCTTTCAAGCCATTTCTCCTGCCGTTGTACCTGCACTCACTCACATCGTTAACACATCCCTTCACACTGGTGTTTTTCCCTCAGCATTTAAACAGGCTCGTATAACCCCACTTCTTAAGAAACCCACTCTTAACCCAACTCTTTTAGAGAACTACAGACCAGTTTCCCTTCTACCTTTCATTGCAAAAACACTTGAACGAGTTGAGTTCAACCAAGTCTCTTCCTTTCTCACACAGAACAACCTCCTGGTCAGCAACCAGTCTGGGTTCAGAAGTGGACATTTGACCGAGACTGCCTTGCTTTCCGGCCCTTTCTTTCAGAACATTCAACACAACTCCTTGTTCAAGCTCTTGTTCTGCCCAGGCTGGACTATTGCAATGCTCTCTTGGCAGTTCTTCTAGCCACTTCTATCAAACCTCTACAAGTAATCCAAAATGCCGCTGCAAGATTAATCTTTAATGAGCCGAAAAGAACGTATGTCACACCTCTGTTCATCAATTTGCACTGGCTACCAGTAGCTGCTCGCAATTAAATTCAAGGCATTAATGTTTGCCTACAAACCACCACTGGCTCTGCACCCATTTACCTAAATTCATTACTTCAGAGTTATGTGCCCTCTAGAAGCTTGCATTCTACAAGTGAACGGCATATTATTGTGCCATCTCAAAGAGGCACAAAATCACTTTCACTGACTTTTTCATATATATATATATATATATATATATATATAGCTAAATGACTAAATGTAAATGTAATGTACATGAGTACATCTATAGAAGCAACTCAAGTAAAATCCATGATAATAACTTAATAACTTAAATATCAAAATAACAATTAGGTCACAAATTATGGAACAAAGTAATGGTATTTGTTTGCTTTTCGAAATGGATCTCCGCTTTAACATTTAGAAGTGAGTGAAGAAGCTTCAGCGGAGTCCCGAGTTTTTGAGGACATACAGATGAAGAGTGAGTTACCCTGAGGGGGCGTCAGCGGCAGGCCCCTCTCCTGACACCAGCCGATGGGATGAATGTACGGGCTGTGAGCATCACACCTACAGTGAAGAGGAAACTGAGAACATTACCACTTCATTTTTAATAATAAACCTATTCATTTCACACTGCACCTGATATATATACGGTACTATTTAATTTAACCTCTTAACTGTCACCGTCCCGCTAGCGGGATGCCTAAGTTTACTTCAATATATTATGAATAAATCCTATCCTAATCATGGCAAACTATATGTCTTTGGAAAGGTCTAAGACTCCTAAATAGATATTTTACCACTGTTTGTTGTTAAAAATTATGTAGAAACAGTAATAGATTAATTTATGACAAGAGTGCACCTCAAAACATACTTCATAACAGGAGTTCTGACCTTTGTCACAAAAATTATTTTTCGTTTGCTTTTTTGAAATCGGACATTGCGTTACCATATAAATGGTACTTTAATATCTTTTAGCATGCTCCTCCCCCTTAGTGCAGGGTGTCATATTACAAAATGTATTACGGTCTTTTGGAATCAAGATTTATTTATAATCTTTACAAAATACATATCGCCGGAAAGGTCTGAGTCTCAGGATTTCATATTTGGCGGTTATTTTGTGATAGAAGTAATACTGAGAGAGAAATTTATACATTTGTGACAGAAAAATGCATTAAAAAAAATTCAATGGAGTTTGGATGGCACCCGGTGGCTGTTTGTGGTATAACACCTAAACAAAATTGCATATGAACCTCTTTTTTTTATATAAACTTCAAATTTGGAACATAACTCATTTAGACATATGGCTTTAATTTCATATCAAATTTGGATTAAAACCTGTATTGTAAAATATTTATTTTATATAAAATAAAATAAAAATAGTAGAGTACATTTTCTTTACAGTAAATTTAAACTTCTATAACTTTTTTTTGCTTTGATTTTTTTGAAATGATTTCACTTCTGCAATAATCTGCTGATTGTCTTCTTTAAAAAGAGACTTTTGAATACGTCTGTATTCAAAAGCGTTCATGAATTATAACAATGTAAGTTTGAATAGTGCACTTTCACGTCTATGTTCAAAAAGGGGGGGTGACAGTTAAACGGTTAAACAAACATGAACAGCAGCTATAACTCACCAGTAGTCATACGTGTCGTCCCAGTTATCAAAGTGAACCAGGAAGCGGTTGTCGACTTTGTCTGTTACCGTGGCAACACAGATGAGAGAGGGGTTCATGCGGTCCACGGCCTCCAGCTTCATCCCCACCTCAAACCCACAGTCTGTCTCTGGCTGCACAGTCAGAAAACCTCTCTATGTTCTATGTTCACACAGAGTCCTTGGGTAAGAAACTTTAGTACAGGACTAGTGTTTGACTCACTCTGACTGAGCTACAGAACAACTCCTTCGGTGCGGCTTGTGATCTGGTGATTTTTAGGTAGTTGGACCAAGAAAACTCCTCTTCTTTACATCCTGCGAGGGAACAGGGTTGAATGGTTAAAATAAAAACCATTACACAAACTATAACATATGTGAATTTATAATATAACTGTATGTTAGTACATCTATAGCAGCTGTGATATATAACAGATGTTAATTTATTTTTAAAGTACATGTTTTTGAACTATATTACAGCAATAAGACATAAGAGGCCATGTGTATAGATTTTCTTGACACAAGTCCCCTTACCATGGTAAAATCACTGTACCCTGGCCAAAAATATGACAAAAGACAGAAATATTTCATATAGAATTACATTCATTATTACTCACAGAAAACACTTTAAGCTAAGTAATACAGTTCATTAGCCAACTGTACGAAACAGCTCAAGAAACATTTCTTATTATTATCAAGCTTAAAACAGTTTTTGCTGCTTAAAATGCTTGTATAAACTGTGATATGCTACCACTAATTAGCTTAGGGGAAAGAAAAACAAAAAAATAAAGAAATTAAGAGTGTTATTCAGTAAGGTCATGTTTAATTGATCAAAAGTGACAGTAAAGACATTTATAATGTTAGAAAATATTTCTATTTCAGATAAATGCTGTTCTTTTGAACTTTCTATTCATCAAAGAACCCTGGAAAATAACATGTATCACAGTTTCCACAGAAATATTGTGCAGCACAACTGTCTTCAACATTGATAATAATCAGAAATGTTTCTTGAGCAGTAAATCAGCATATTAGAATGATTTCTGAAGATCATGTGACACTGAAGACTGGAGTAATGATGCTGAAAATTCAGCTTTGATCACAGCAATCAATTACATTTCAAACCAGAAAACAGTTATTTTAAATTGCAAAAATATTTTACAATATTGCAGTTTTTACTGTATTTTTTATTAAATAAACTTAGCCTTGGTGGGCAGAAGAGACTTCTTCAAAAACATTAAAAAGTCGTATTGATTCCAAAGTTTTGTTTAGTGTATGTAATTCAACCTAGAATTGTACAGTCAAACCAAAAATTATTCAGACACCAGATGTAATTTTTGATATTTTTTACTAGTGGGTGCAGGACACTATAGTTAATTTATGTAAGTGAGGATAGCAAAATAAAGTAAACTGTGACAAATTATACCCAAAAATTCTCCATACAGTGGACTACCAGTAAAACTGATAAAAAATTTGGGTCCAAAAATGATTCAGACACTTTGACCTGACCATGTTTTGCTTCAGTGTTATCTGACATTATCCAGATGAATTTGTTCCGACACAGTTTAACTCTGTGTTCTTGTCATATTGTATTACCATTTTCTAAACTATAGCGAATAAACTGTGATAATGTGTGAGATGTTGAAGGTGTCTGAATAAACTTTAGTTTGACTGTACATCACATTGTGTGTTTAGGATCTGTTTATTTCTGGTTTGGTTTGTAAGTCACCTTTTGGGGTGTAGAGCTTGTGTCCTGTGCTCTCACACCATCCAGCGGGATGAATATCAGGGCAGCTGGCGCTGACCCAGAAGTCATGGCAGTCAGAATAGCCATCAAAATGAAGGCGTAATCTGAAGCCACAGACCTAGAGAGCAGAATGACTGGTCACTGAGAGTCAGATAGCTCTGCACTGATTATAGTCCAAATCGTCAGAATGTGAGGTGTGCAGAGGTGTTTCAAAGTACCTCAGCGACGGTCAGGACGAAATACATGGAGGAGTGCTGGGGGTCGATGCCTTCTAACTTCATCCCCTGTCTGAAGCTGTTCTTAATCGTGGGAACCCTCTGGGTCTAGACCGGTGACATGGATAAATGTTAATATTGAAAAACAGGAGAAAAATCCATGACTGAACTATAAAGTGCTTGTAATCTCTACTCCATATTGAAATGAGTCAAGTTAATGTTCTGTGCTCTGATAACACATCACAGCTGCATCATAGAATGTCACTGGAGTTTTAAGATGAAAATCACTGGTACAGTGGCGTTATTCCCTTCCTACAGTGAAATACAGCAGTCAAACCTCCTGGAAGAGTCTGGCTGGAGCGGCCACAGCTTTCTGCTGCTCTAGATACTGCGGCCAGGACCACAGCTCTAGCTTACTCTCTGCTGAACCTACAGAGACAACTGTTACATAGTTATGCATGCAAAGGACACTGTTTGCATGATCTCTTTATCAGTATTAGCAGTTTGTAAAAACACAGAAACTGACTTTGTAAGCTCACAGTGGTCAAAGCAATGCCATTTTTCATGTTATTTTAGTATTTGTAAACTTTAGTAATTGAGATAGTATTATAGTTTTTATAAACTTTTAAAATGAGCTTTTTATTTTAATTTGTTACTTTTCAATTTAATTTTTGCTCAAGTTTTTGTTTTTTGTGTGTTTTTGTCATTT